ACGATTCTGTGGCAATAAACGTGTTAAATTATTACGAACCGTACAATGATTAAACAGGAAAATAAAAATAATTAATTATATTTATTAATAAGCATTATTATTATTTCTGAAATATATGTAAAAGCATTTTCTTTGCTCATGAATGAGGCGAACGGAAAAGCAGTTATCATCTCATTTTTCTTTACTTTAAATACAACTCTTCGTTTTAATTCGAAGTAATATTTTAACTTCAAATGCAACGATTAAATACCGCTTTGTTTGCGCCAAGAATATATTGATTTTATACTATTATGATAAAGTAGAGAAATATATATTTGGAGCCGGTTTAAGAAATAATGTGCATTGTTGAATTTATCTTCTCTATCAGTGTGAGTGGAATTCGTAACAATGAACACCTACGTCTTATTAACATAATCCTTTACAGTAGATAATTCGACATGACATAATCTATGTATGGATAACATCATAATGACGTAATCGAAGCAAACGTTTTGATGTGTTATCTTCACTTCGGCCAGTAAATGGGAGATCCGTAGGAATGTATCGTTTATACAAATAAGAACAGTCTATCCTAGCTTAACAAGACTATGGCTTCAGAATCGAAAGATATTTTAGTCTATTGAATGGATTTCTTTATAGTAACTCTATTTACTTTAAAAAGATTTAACATTAAAGTTAATAAAACACATTAATTTTTAATAATAGTAGGGTGTCGCTAGTAAACAAAGATATGTATTAAAAAATAATTTATTAGTATCTCACATTACTATTGAATTATTAAAACGTTTTACATAAATAAATAAATAAATAAAATAAAATAGCCTTTTATTCAGATCTGCTTACAAGTTACAATAAAATAACAAATATAATTTAAGTTTGTAAGTATGGAGATAGAAGTATCAAAAGTTGAAATATAAATGTTGATAAATAAGTAAAATAAGATTAGACGTTAAATGTTACACTTCCAGTATACTTTTTTTGCTTATTTTCTGCAGATCTGTTTGCCAGTTGGCAAAGGCCTCCTCCAGTCTTTTCCACTCACGCCTTTCTCTCGCTACTCTGTTCCAGGTTACCCCTGCTACACTCCTGATGTCGTCGTCCCATCTTTTCAGCGGTCTGCCTCTCTTCCTTTTTCCATCTCTGGGGTACCACTGAGTCAGAATTTTGCTCCATTTGTCTGGTCCTCTTATTGTGTGTCCCGCCCAACGCCATTTGAGCCTTCTGATCTTGGATGCTATGTCTGTAACTCTTGTCTTGCTCCTGATGGTACGGTTGTTTATTCTGTCTGATTTCTTTATTAACAACATACTCCTCTCCATTGCGTGCTGGCATGTTGTTAGTCTATTAGTTAAATTTTGAGTTAGAGCCCATGTTTGGCAGCCATACACGAGGACAGGTAGAATGCAGGTGTTGTATAGTTTGCTCTTAGTGTTAATGTTTAACTTCTTGTCTTTCATGATCTCTCTCATGCCCCAGTATCTACTCCAACCGTTGCTTATTCTGCGTTCGACTTCTTTAAGTGCGGAATCGTTTTGTGTTATTAGCTGACCCAGGTAAATATATTCATCTGTATATTCGATTACACTATTCTCTATGTTTACTGTGTCTTTCCTTCCATTGGTCATTACTCTAGTTTTTTCCGGATTTATTTTCAGGCCTACTTTCTCACTTTCTGCTGCCAGCTCCTTTATCATTTTAGTTATGTCTTCTGATGTTTCAGCAAACAAAACTATGTCATCTGCGAACCGCAGATGCGTTAGAGGGACACCATTCACATTTAATCCAACATTGTTCCAATTAAGACATCTAAAAACCGATTCTAGAACGGCGGAAAATAATTTTGGAGATAAGGGATCTCCTTGTCTGACTCCTTTTTCCACTCGGAACGTTTTGCCTTTCTTTTCCAATTGAATCCTTGCAGTGCTGTGGCTATATATATTTTTAATTAAACGGATATATTTGTGTTCAATTCCTTGAGCTCTTAATGCCTCCCATATCTTGTCGTGAAGTAGAGAATCAAATGCTTTACTGTAGTCAATGAATGCGATGTAGTAAGTGCGTTGGTATTCGTTGTACTTTTCTAATACTTGACGTACTGCGTGGATGTGATCGATCACCGAGTAACCTTTGCGGAAACCTGCCTGTTCGATGGGTTGGTGTTCGTCTAATGTTCTCTCAATGCGTTTTAGAATTATCTTAGCAAATATTTTATATATATTAGACATAAGACTGATGGGGCGGTAGTTTCCGATATTGTGTTTGTCTCCTTTCTTGTATATAAGAATAATATTGGACTCTGTCCATTGCTCTGGAATGGTCTCAGTGCATACGATGTCATTGAACATTTCTGTTAGAATAGGTGTAATTACATCTTTGGCTACTATCAGTATTTCGTTATTTATACCATCAGGTCCTGGTGCTTTGTCCCTCTTTTGTGTGTCTATAGCTTTCTCAACTTCGGCATGAACTATGCTAGGGATATTTGATGTGTCCGACAAAGTTACTTCGTTTGCCTTAGATGTGCATTCGTACAGTTTTTTGTAGTAGCATGTAGCAATTTCTAATATTCCTCTTCTATTATGATTCCAAATTCCTCTGACGTTTTTCATTTTCACCACCCAATCCTTCGAGTTTGTTAGTTCTCTGTATGCTTTTTTGGCGCCTCCTGTTTTTGCAATGTAGTTTTCTATTATTTCCATTCTGCTCTTTTTTCTATCTTTTCTTATACTTTCTTTAATTTCTTTGCTGATCTCTGCAATTTGTTTTCTTCTATCTTTTATGTCCTTTGTACTTATCAGGTGTTTTCTTCGTTCTAGTAATTTTATAGTTTTCATAGATAGCCATTTTCTCGGTTCGCATCCACTATTTGTTTTGCTAAGTTGAATATGTGTTTTAAAAATATTTTCTATCCAATTGTACTTTTCTTGCGTTTTCAGACTCTTTGCTGTGCTTTGAAAGTCTTTGAACTTATCCTTTAGAATGGTAACTAGTTGTTCACCTTGGTGCTTTCCGAGCTTCATGGCTGTTATTTCCTGCTTGGGTCTTGGTTTTCTTGGTTGCTGTGTCTTTAGTTCAGCTCTCACCATTCTATGGTTGGTGTTGAAGTTTAAGTTGTTAATAACGTCAAGATTAATAAAATACCTACTTTTATTGGTCATTACGAAGTCAATTTCGTTTTTCGTTTTGGTGTCTGGTGACAGCCATGTCCACATTTTTTTCTTCTTTTTCTTGTACATAGTATTGAGTATAGTTAAGTTATTTTCAAGTGCAAAATTTATGATTTTTTCTCCGTTCCTGCTTCTTGGTTTAGAACTGTATGTATGTGGTCCTGTTACTGAGCATTCGCTCGAACGTCGCTCTCCGATTTGGCCGTTATAATCCCCCATAACAATTAAGTTTTTGTGGGCGTGTTGTCTAATTGTTTCATTCAGATTAAGGTAGAATGTCTCTATGGTTTCTAAGTCTGATTGTTCAGTAGGTGAGTATATTTGTATTATAGACCACGGTTTATCATATCCTGGTAGCTTCAAGTTCATAATTGCTATTCTCTCGGAGATCCCTATAAAACCTTCAATGAACTCTGTAAGGTGTTTTTTGATAATAAAGCCAACTCCGCGCTGGCCTGGGGTTGTTCCTATGTAGTACAGCAGAGAATCTTCATAGCAAACAATCCTTTCTCCTTCTCGTCTCACTTCACTGAGACCGACAATATCCCATTTAATTCTTTTTAGTGCATACATAAGTTCTATGTGGTTTTCCTCATTCTTCAGTGTAAGTACGTTTAATGTTGCGATATAAATTTTATTTGATCTTGGGGTTTTGTTTTGTATTTTTGGAGGGTTGTGGTCGCTATCCCCCACGAGGACCAGTCGGCTTGGGGGAGTTTTTGTTTTGTCGGTTTGTATGTTTACGTAATTTAGTTGTGTATTCCGATTGTCGGTTGTTAGTAGTTGCTATTGATTGTTATTTTGTGGGATACTAGTCAGAGAGTTTGAACGGGTCCTCATGATATCGAAGGCATTTGTGCGGTTAGATTTAATAGAACTAATAGTCTGTAGCTTTTTTGTCTGCGTATTCGAAGGTGACTTTGGTGACGTAGACGGTTCTCGTTTTCTTTTGTCAAAGTTTGTGTTTGATTCTTTAACTATCAATTGGTCGTATTTTATAAAAGCTACTTTTCCTTTTCTCTTTTCTTCCTGCAGTCTTGGGATTAACGCCTTTCTCTTCTCTAGAACCTCCTTTGTGTAATCCTCCGAAATGTAGATCGTTTTGAGATTTTTTCTTCCTTTCAAAATTTCGTCTTTTTTCCATTTGTTAATAAGTACGCAGAGCACAGGTCTCGGCTTGCTACTGACTTTCTGTTTGCCTAGACGGCGTATTTTGTTCACTTCGCTTTCTTGTAAATGTACGTTTGACTCGTTTTTGAGCGTATATGTAATTTTTTGAAAAAGGTCAGATGTTGATTTCTCACTTTCCTCCAATCCATAGATAATGATGTTATTTTCTTTGTTACCTCTTTTTAAATATTCTATTTCGTTTTCAAGATCTTCGACTTTCTTTTTTAGTTTATTATTTTCTGTAATTAAGGGTGATAATTTTTCATCGATTTTATCCATTATGTTTTTGGTAATCGATTCTTTTAATTCGATGGTTTGTTTTTGCATTTCTAGCTTCATTTGGTCGAGTAACATCTTAAATTGTTGTTCCATTATTTTGCTTTAATAAAATTTCTGTTAAAACGGAACGGATTATTGGTAGGACTGATTTTCTTGTGATGGTAACCCTTAACTGTCAGATGTTAGATTGTCATTTGTCTTTGGCTGATGGTTGTTGTCGAGTGTCAGATTGACATTAATTCAAAAATAAGTAGTGTTCTAACCTCAATTGTATTTGTATATTTTGCAGATTTGCTTCGTTGGGTTAATCTTGAAAAATATGCAACACCAATTTGTTGTGGGTATTTCTGGACACTATCACTTTGTTTTGATGAGTACTGTTAGTGGATTGTTGTTTCTAACTAT